CGCTACTAGGAACAAGTGCATCGCTTGTAGTAACAAGTGCCTTACTAGTAGTAACAAGAAACTATTAGAAACAAGAACGGTACTAGGAACAAGTGCATCGCTTGTAGTAACAAGTGCCTTACTAGTAGTAACAAGAAACTATTAGAAACAAGAACGGTACTAGGAACAAGTGCATCGCTTGTAGTAACAAGGTACTGAGGTTACAATAAAACTCAACATAAACCGTCACACGTTCTGGGCGACAAACCGTCACATCCCCGACCGACGCCTCCACGACCTGTGCTGCACCGATGGTGCGACGGTCATTGCGGTGCTTTTCGGTGGCACAAAGCAGCGACGCCTCGGAAGCAAAACCGGTGAATTCGACTGGGCTAACCGCGCATAAATGGTCACAAGAGTTGTGGAAGAAGCAAGGATTGTCAATACCCGGAGGTCAACCTCAACATGATTTGGAAATTGAACAGACTTCCCAATGCAGCCAGTCATTGTGCCACTGGGCTCTACATTGGTTGCAAAACTGCTAGTGAGCAGAATATGGAAGAAAGAAGGGTTTCTGGGCCCCAGAAGTTAAATCCTTCCAACCACCACTGCCTACCGCGTGCCAACCAACCTAATCGACCCAACCACGCCTGCAGATTCAGCTGCCCAAGGTTTTGCAAGCTGAAGCTATCAGCATCTACCCAGCAACTCCCAGGATGCCTTGACAAGAGCTCATAGCGAAACCAATCCTTGGAGTGGCGCCTTTACATGCTGGACAATCCGCAAACTCTTCAAAAGGCCAAGTCAGGAGCCTATGAGAGGCCGAAGTGAAGCACGGACTTTCTCTGGATTCTTGTAGAAATACAAATAAATGGCGCAACTGCAGTGGCGACGCCTCGTACCATCAATTGACACTTCACAAGTCGCCACAGTTTGTTCCAAAAAAAGGAAAACAGAAAACAACAGAAACAACACACGCGAAGACGGTGCAGGCAAAGTAACTGAGGGCACACACTCACACTTCACCAGCACTATCAATCCAATCACGAACCGAAGAGGGGACACAGGTACCTCCCAATTTTCCCTGATGCTCCTAAAGGCCCAACAGCAAATGAAGGGATTTCCCAGTACACAATGTGATTCACCTTCCGTCACAACCACGTGGATCATGATTCATTATGCAATCACATTGTTGTGTTTCAGCTGCACTTTTACACTGCAGATGCCTGAGGCGGTCATTGACCCTTCGAGTCAGCCTTAGAAGGTGAGGACTTAATCCTCACTGGTCTCTTCAAGACCTTGGTCATCAAGACCTTCTGAACCAAAACATTCTTGCTTCATGGCAGAAGCGCTTCGTCAGTGAAAAACTATCCCCCGGCAGGGATGTTGGACACTGGAAACAGGAACATTCTGACTCACCTTCCACGGTCCCAGTTCTCACCCCGGAAGTGGGTGATTAAAGTTAAAAAGGGGACCACTTAGATATCAGGTCAAGACTAGTGGGGTCAAGACTCAGGTGTGGTAGCCGTGAAAGCCCGTCCATGATGTATAACTTTGCCGCACGGACTGAACTCCAGCAACCTTTATCAAGGACTAAATCATATGAAAGGCTCTCTTGAAATAAATGCGTCGCGCCACCGCGCCTAAGACTATATGGCCTGAAGCCACAGCGCTGAAGCTTGAAGAATTTGCAATACTCTTTGAACCGTAGACGAAAGGTAGAAGGGGAACCTCGCCAGATCCTTGCAAATTTCAAGTTCTTCTCTTGCAAATATGCCAACAATGTTTGAAGCACCATAAGTACCCACGGGTGGTGAAGAGTGACCATCTCTGTGACCCCTTTACGACCCGAGGTCTTCGCATCTGCTAAGCGAACAAGTCTTTGGCCATTCCTGATCAACAGGTCTGATCCGCAGAGCCCCAGCGCTTCCCCCGTCCTAAGAAGGCCTTCAAAGGCAGTGAGGATAAGAGCTCCAAAAATCAAGTCTCCCCTGTGGGTGGCCAAGGCAGCAATCGCAAAGACGATCTCTTGGGCCATGGGTGGAGCTCGACAAGGGGCCTCCATTCACCTCCAAACACGGAATAACCTCCAAGACTCAGGGATGTTGCCACGAATTCCTGGACAAAAGAACTGAACGCCGCATAGTGCAGTTGAAACATGGTAAAGAGGCCGGCCCTGGGCCCAAGCTTCCTCAATCCAAGCGCATTTGCTGTCGTCCAAATGTTCTTCAGAAGTAGCTGCCCTAAAAAGCGGTAAGAGTTTCTTCCCAAATCTATAATACCGCTCTACAGTCCGTGGCTTCGGGCGTGAGCACGCTCGGCAGAAGACCGGCGGCCCAACACACTATCGGCGCGATGCTTCATCAGTCGGGTTCTGACTAATTCAACGTGTCCTATAATCAAATACAAGTCAAACCCTAAAAGCAATGAGTTCAGCTGCTTGAGAACGCGCCCAAGTTTCTTGGACCCTGAACGTCCTTTGCCAATTATGCTCACGCAAACATAGCTGTCAGTCAAGTGAAAGATGCGCGTGCTCATGGCGGTTCTCCTGCTGATATGGTGGCGGATTGCCAACACAATGGATCTTAGGCTAGACCCATACGGTTTGCCAGCCATTGAAACTCTACCATCGGCAGGTGTCGACGGCATAAAGCAGCTCCCGGAATGACAAAAGACTGGATGGAGAAACTGTCACCCAGAAGTGAACACCTCATGTCCTCATAAGCCTGGGCCCCCACAGCCTTCTGCTGGCTGTCTGAGAGACACAAGGACGTGTGCCCCTCGCCGTGGCCCAGTAGCCGCTCGCGCTCAGCCGCCGACGCGAGCCGCCAGGCATCTCCTTGCCAAAACAAGAACTCATCTTTATATTGGTAAGGTGGGTACCTGTAACCGTGGGACTCCCAACGCGCCGGCGCCAGCCCACTCCCAACCAGGATCAACCCACTAATCCTCAGTTGGGTACGTTGCCTCCGCATGGACCCGCGTCCAGTACTGATGCTGAGAGATGGTGACCCCTTGCACAGCTCCCTCCAGGGGCTCACTGCACCATGTGAAGCGGGGTCGCCGCATTGGCACAGAGTCAACTGGGCAAATGGATTTCCTCAACCATTGGGAATTGAAGTATTATAACCATTGATGAACGACCTCGTACGAAATATCTCGAACGTCCGTGACAACCTGTGCCTGGGGCCACCTCTTCTGAACCACCCGGTTGGAGGGCCCAAAGATCTCCACTGCAATCATTCCAATGGGTTGGATATTGAAAATATCATAGATCCTAAAACAACCTCCGATGCCGTTGAAGAGGGAAATTACCAAAATTGGGTGCTGGCTGATCTCAACACTCCTAACCTTTGAGGCCATCACGAAATCCATGCCGGCCTGGGTCAGGGTGTGTGAGACGCCAAAACCGCACCCCCTCGATTTGAGGCATCCGAAGCTGTAGTGCAGGAATCAACCGCGGCTTTCATTTTGCAATGCAAAAACGGAGAGATGAGAACCAGAGTCCAAAGTTCCCTACGAACTCCTGCTACAACCCTGGGTCCCGTTGCTTTCCCCGATATGAAGTCCCAGACATGTTCCAGCGCTGTCCAACAACGATTTGAACCACCTTCTTTCTCAAGACGCGCCCGCTAAGAACCCACAATGTTGCTTGTATAAGCTTTAGCAGGCGTTCACCCGTGACGGAGATGATCTGTTTCTCACCGTCCAGCCAAGCTCCGAGCTCTTGAACTTGGGTTGCGCCAGACACCTTCTTCTTTGCAGAGGAGACCAACCCGGCACGCGACCAGGCGTCCTCAACGCAATCATGAAGGCTTTGTCCTGCAGAGCTGGCTTCTGCCGGCATGAGCTTCTGCCCGGCGCAAAAATTGTCAAGATAGACATGCCACCAGGGCATGTGCCTGGCCTCGCCAAGTTCGATGCAGCTCGTCAAGAACGGTGGTAGCGCACGACCACGCACTAGCTGGGAGGCTTGGGGAGCCCCCCCCAGAAGTGCTACCTGTTCTGCAACTTCCTGCATAGTGGAGACACTGGAGCTCCACCCCATTGGGAGTACAGAGCAAGATAGGACATAGGTTGAAGATGGGTCTAGATTGATCTCTGATCCTTTGACTTTTACGTTGAAAAGGAAAGGAACTTCTCCCACACTTTGGGTAATCTGAACAAATAAAACGCAGCCGTTAAATCTGATTGGAATAAACCCAGGCCCTCTCCCTCTTCCAGAGTAAGTCCGAGCCACGCCGTAATCGAAGGCAGATGCCTCATGGCTCCATGAATCGAATCCGTGGTTGCATTAGCTGGGACCAAGTTCAAAATTAAACGAAGTACCCTGCGACCGTCTGGAAGTAAAGAGGGCTTCAAGACCCCGAAAAGACCCGAGAGAACCGGTTGGTTTCTGTAGTGAAAGACGTCCTCAAGCTTCGTCCGAGAGCATATATTACGCCTAACCAGTTCCTTACAGAGTGCACCTCGTCCCTAGAGCAATGAACTTTGGCTTGAAGAGGGGGAAGAGCCTGACCCACGTCCGGAACGACCAAGTGTGAAGGGTCCTGCAACAACCTGGCTGTCCCACGTGAGAGTAGTTCCAAAACATCGACCGATCCGCCATGCCCTACCGGTGGCAACCCGGGACCACCTGGTCTAAGGTCAAAGGATGGCACGAATTGATTTCATCGCCGGTGTAAGAAAACCGCTTGCCTTTTAGCTCCTGTTCGATGGAGTCAGCGGTACACGAGTGCGACCCCTTGAGTTCAAGGAGCCTCCCGCAAGACTTCGCTACCAAGGCCGCGGCACGAGTTTGGGCTGCATTGAGCCTCACAGCTGCCATGCCATCTGCTCGCAGCTCGCCACAAGGGCAGGTTGTAAAGCCTCCTCAAGTGTGCAACGTCTCAGTCTCTTGACAAAGCCCTCAAGCGCACCCATACGAAGTGGAAAAATCACCCCTTTCTTTGAGGTCCCAAGCCCTTTGGCCTCCTTTGTAGCCTTTTACAGGGCGCGCCCGCTTGGACGGCCTCCGGAGGGTAGCTGCCTCTTTTGCCTTCTCTGTACCTTTCTTTGTTGAACGGGACTTGTCTCCCCGCTCTTTGGGCTTTCCAGCCCCTGCCTCCTTCGCGGTATCTCCTTCTGCCACATCTGCAGGTCTCCTCAACGCTGAAGGCCTTGTAAGCTCCCGACTCTCCCAGGCCAGGCGCTGTGCCAGCCTCGGGTTGCATGCCCTCTGACTCCTCCACCCAATAGAGCTCTTCCGCTTCCGAAAGCCGCTTCTTGGCAGAGCGAATGGCTGGCGGGATCAACTGATTCTCCACTCCTGCGAGCATGTGCCAGACAACATCGCAAACATGTATGTCTCCAGCGTACTCTTCTATGCATGGATTGGAGCTGCAGAAATGAAGCCAGCCTTCCTTCCTGTTGAACCTTAGCGTAAGGTCCTTGTTCAGACTGCTGTCTGTTGATCCTAAACTCTTGCAACGCACGGACAAAGTTCCTGAACCTGAGACGAGCTGAACCTCGAGGACCAGGAAGTAGCCCAAAACCTGTGAAGCTGCTTGATACGAGAAAGTGCTCAGGTCTACAACCAGCACATCTCCCCTCAAAGGCGCAAGAGTCACCCATCGTATGAAGTCCTTTTGGGTGAACACTTCACCCTCCTGATGAACTCGGTGAGTCATTGAAAAGGGTCTTGGGAACCCCGTTCGAGCTCCGATGACAAGCCGTCCAAAAAGGCACTGCTCAACTTGCGATGGATGGGCCTCTCCGGATCTTGCTCCAGCCTGCCAATCCTCTGATGTTTTCGACCTGCTCTGTGCTTTGGCTTGTGTTGATGCGAACTGCGATCACCGCGATGTTGGCGTTTGTCACTACCTGAGTGTCGTCGCCTGTCCTTTTGCCCTTTGCTGCTGATGCCCTTCGAGTTGGAGGTGGTCCTTTTGGCTCTGGCGGCTTGGGATCTCCTGACCCTCCTAATGGCCGGTGTTCGACCTCAACAAGCTCCTCTTCCTCGGTGTCCTCCTCGAACTTCTCCTCAGACTCGGTGAACTCCTCCTTGCTGGCCTTGTCACTCCGGCTCTTTGGCAAAAGGCCAGATGGCTTGGGACGCACGACCTCTTTCCTCCTCTGGAGCGCTGGCTTGTCCCCTTCCAGGGCGTGGTCCTCCCTGGCACGCTTCGCAGCAGCCTGCGGTCGATCAGTTCGAGATGCCGCTGCCTCAGCGTTTGATTGCGAAGGTACCTGACCTGCCGAGTGGTGCTGAGCGCAAGATCCTCGGCCAATCTCCTTGAGGAGGAGCACGACCACGTGCTGGTGACCTCATGGCCGAGGGATTCCCAGCTCGAGCAGCTCAGGCACCAAGTGTCACCTTCCCTACGCGGGCTTTGGTGACACTTATTGCATGTCATGCGCCCCCCTATCTTCAACTAAAAGAGCCCAAAGTGAGTGCATTCAACACAACCGTCTACAAGAAAGTATTTCATCTCTCTCAAAGGCGCTGCCCTCTTGGCCTCAAATTAAAAGCCATGACCCTACATCTTCAATTCATTTACCTCATAGGAAAGTGACACGATGAGACACCAACTGTCCCAAACAGGACAGGAATTAGAAGCCGCCTGACCCCAAGCGTTTAGGAAATAATGGAGTCTTCCGTAATGATGTTGTTCCAAGGTTCACTGAAGGGCGCCCAGCCCTGCCACTTCCTCTCAGGTCCAACACCTCAAAACTAAAGCAAAGCCAAGCAGCTTTCAACTTGGATGCTTGGGGCGCTTCAAGGCAAAAAAGGTGAGAATATAGCCGTATAGCCACGGCCTATAGAGTCTACTGGGCCGCCCAGGCCGTAGAAGAACATCTTCCGGGCAAGCTCCAAGGGAAGCAGCTCATTAGCATCGCCTCAGCCCCCAAACCCAGCAACATGAAATCTTGGGGAAAAGTGCCCTGAACAGGAACATTGGCATCTCCCCTCTCAACTTCATATCCATTCCTCTCACCAAGTCACGCAATCTCAGAAGAGGAGAAGCCAAAAGGCGCTGTCCAACTGCCAAGATGCACAAAAAGAGTGTTTGGAGAAACTGGGGCTCAGTATCGCATCTTTTCACACTCTTCAACAGGTTGAGGCCTTCGTTGCATTGGAGTAGCTCGAAATCTCTCTCCCTTTCCTCAGGGTAGATCCTGGACATGTGAACGTGACATTGCAGCCTGTTAACTTGGTTTATGTCGGCTTTCTAGTTCGCATGTGCATGGTGAACACTACAATTTGGTGGACATGCTGTTCAGTATATATATATATATACATACACACATATTTATACTTATTTCATCTTATTTCAGAGGGAATGCGAATGTGCCTATTTCCGTGTGGAAGAAAAAAGGGGCTTGGACTTTTCGGCAACGGCAGCTGAGTGGCCACCAATTGATCACATGCCCTGTGCGGATGTATGATGCCACGCAGTGAGGCAGCCAGTCTGGAAAGCTCTCGCCTCGATCGAAAACGACTTGCAAACAATGCAAAAGGTTGTCTCCTGCATCTCCCGTATTCAAATTGACTGCATTTCTAAGCTCAAACTCTGGGTTTTCTGGCCAATCCACAGACTATGAACTTCGACGGGAGGCATTTGCCATCGTGCACATCAAGGTCTCAAAGTCACAGCACAAAGGGTTCAAGATTCAATGCGAAAACTCTTGTTCGCAAAAACAATTTCAACATGTTTCAGATCTTATCTTGCGATCTCGATGTGTTTTTGCTTCGCGCTTTCTTGATATTGTGCATGATGTGTCGTGGCTTAGAGGCTTGCGAGTGTTGGAGGCAGTTTTCTGACGTTTTGCGAGCGTCGTCCAAGCCTTGAACGGAACCCAACGGCGCACACACTGCAAGCGCACACACACAGACACACACTCATGCCATCGAAGGAACGCCAGCCTTTTTTTCTGTGACTGTGAGTCACTGGGTCTCACTGCATCCGTTTTTCTTCCTTTCAGGCTGTCAGGCGGCGCTGCAGCTTTGGCGGCGTTCAACCTGTTGGTGCCCTTCATTACGAACAACATCCTTGTTTCTTGTCTCCACTCTGGCGCCCTGTTTTCGTGACCGCCCCCTAGCACCCGAGCCGATCACACTAGGACGGCGTCAAAGAAACCCCGCCTTGCGGGAGTGACGAACTTCCGGAACCTTTCGGCGCCTGAAGGTCGCTCCTCTTGGCGCAAAGTGCCCAGGCGCATTTGGGAGAATCAGCAAAGGCTCTGGCATGCCCAAGTGGATGACCTTCGACGGTCTTCACTCAAACGTGCCGCAATATTCAAATTGCTTCTTCTTTGTTGTTTCAAATCCGTGGAGGGGAGGGGTTAAGCCTCACGGTGCGTGATTGGCAGCATCACAAAGAAGTGAAAGGGTCCAGCGCTTCTTCTTTTCACCACAGTCGGCCGATCTGTACCGGCTAAGTTCTGACACTGGTTGCAGGGCCCCTTGGGGAGAAAGGGCGTTGGGCATGCGCTTGTGGCATGCATGACACATGGATGGAGGCAACATGCAAACAGGCTGAAGCACAAACATCTATCGGCTGTTGCCCAAAGGTGTCACGCCGTACCGGGCACTGTTTGCGGGCGCTCAGCCCGGGCTCTTTCGAAGCCACGAACATTGGATCAAAGATGATCCGCCAATTTACCCCTTGCTGGAGGAAGGAAGGCTGTCAAACAGCTGGGCGCGTGGGGATACCCAGAGTGGCGCGCTTCTCCTTCATGGAATAGCCAAATTCGGTCTCGCTCTTCTGGTCGAACACGGACTTCACGTCCGCCACCAGCGCGGCTTTCTGGCGCAAAAGGGCCGTGGGTTCACCTCCACGTTCAGAATCTTGTCTCGTTGGAAGTGGCACAACAGCTGCTCCTTCTTCGAGTCCATCTCCCCCTCACTGCTTGAAGATCTGGGACTGGCGCTCGTCTAAGGTCCTGCAAGAAGTGGATCAAGAGCGCTCCATCAATGTGCGGTTGTCGATCTCCTGTGATGGTCCAGGCTCGTTCCGTGAGCTGCGCCACAAGCCAGCTCTCCGGCGCTTCCTCGCTCGTCCTGGACAGTGGACTGTGCTCCATCCGAGGCACATTTGGCTCCAAAGTTCCCGTCCTGGTGCTGCGTCTCACACACCAAGTTCGTCAGGTCAAAGGCAAAGAAGTGGGCCAAAGCCAGGAAAATGGTCGTCACAAAGTTCAAAAAGGGTGAGCAAAGCAAGGTCCAGGAAGTGCGTGTGCAAGGCGTGCGCGAAGTAGCAGTTCCGGGCGACATCTTGGTCGAGTTCGAGCGTCGCTAGCTGACCTCTAACCAGCGGCGCACCACGGTGACTGGCAGCGCCACAAAGAAGTGAAAGGGTCGAGCACTTCGTCAAAAGGGTAGCGGCCGTATGCGGCCGTAGGGTACCCCCTTTACGTGGGACTGGCTGAAGGGGTCCCTGAGAGGGAAAAGGGGCTGAAGCATAAACACCTAGAAGGCCATAAGAGTAGGTTAGCAAGCTATTAGTAGCTTAAGTAGCTACTAGTATCTTGGATGCAGAAAGGCTCAGGCTTATTGATTTGGTTTCTGGTTTTTGAATTGTCAGCTGTAAGAAACTGACTTCAGAACTCCAACCTGAACGTCCGGCATGTGCATTCCGGCCAAAAAGCCCTTGATCTTGTCGAGCATAGACAACTTGCCCTGCCAAAGGCAACCAGTGAAATTGACCCGCCTCAATAAGGGTTCGAAACATCAGTATTGAACCTCTGAGCCACCTAGGTCTGTTTTGCTCCATCCAACACATCCCTGCAAGCTGCTCCAGCAGTCCATCTGAAGCCCATAGCCTTCGGCTTGGGCGGAACCAGCCAGCTGGCATCTTTGCCCAGCTCCCCCACGGTCAGGCCTGCAGCTCTCAAGGCTTGAAAAAAGCGGCCTCAAACCCCAAAAAGGAAGGGTGTCATGCAACGAGTACTATAAGTATGTGTGTCATGCAACGATTAGCATGCTACGAGTAGAGACCAATTGAACACATGCTGGTTAAGTGCACTTGCCAAAGCAATATAGCACCAGCCACTGATTGCTGATCATGAACACCATACTGACCAAACCTGCTTCAAAATCCAGCGCCTGGAGGGCCGTGTTTCCATTCGCTTGATAAACTAAACACCTGAATGGTGGAAACCAAACCTGTTCAACTTTTGTCGCCTGCCAACCGTTCACAAATTCAATGGCAAGGGGTAGCGCACCGACCTCGCACGATGGCGTCGCATCTCAGGCCCCGACAGTTCTCCTGAAAGAAAAAGAGAAGAAGCGAGCTGCGCTATTCGTTTCTGAAAGCCAAAGTAGCCCGACCCGCTATTCGCCCGATTGTGAGGTCACTGAATCTCAGTCAGCCTTTCCCAAATCCGTAAGGTCCTTCACGTTGTTGCAATACAACAATGGACCTGACAAGTACTGCACACACAAAGCTGCTGAGGCTATTCACAACATTCCAAGTATTCACATCTACACCCCACAAGGGTAAAGTCAAATTGTTTGGCTGTCAAGAACATTTGCCTCTTTTATGCCAAGCTGACATCAACCTCAACGAACCAGTTTAGCCTTTGTCTAATCCGTTTCTGCGTCAAAGCGGCAGTTTTGGTCTGGGGATTGCTTCTCACGAAAACACATCTGTACCTGCAGCGGCGGGTGCCCGATGACCACCCTGTGAATTCATCTCAAGAGAACATGACTTTCGTTGATTCGACACACGGTTTTAGAACCTATGCAGTGTTCAAATGCCTTAGCCACACATAGCCTAGTAGCACGTTCAAACGCGAAGCGAGAACCGAAGGCGAGTTGAAGCCGTTGTCCCCTGGAATGGCTTAAGAGGCTGAAGCCTCAATTTCACTAGGCCTGTTTGCTTTCCCGGGGCCCTCCCCGGCCTTTTCCCTCGAATTTGTCACCCATTCGCAACAGCTGTTTGCACTTAGAAGATTAGTCCAACCTGTGATCGCTGCAGCAGGATGCAATGCAAATTCTGCGAGGCTGTACCAAAAATACAACAAAACACATACATACAAAGACTACAAAAGAGTTGCTTGAGTCTACCCGGGTACGAGAGGGTGCGGCGTACATGGGCGATGAATGATTGCCCAACAGCCGGAGTTGAGCATGGTCATCCATAATCGAACTCACTTTAACTATCAACAAATTCTGCAAGAAGTTCCCACAAGTACACACTTTTTTGTGGAAGTAAAACATCGGCTGACTGACAAAATGATTATCGCCATCGCCACAAGCCGAAGCACATCTTCATGGTCAAAGGGCATCGATACGCCAAACTCACTCCGCTGAGAATACCTCAGAATCAAATGAAAGCATCGATAACAGCCGTTCGTTGCAAGCAGTCTATCAGTCATGGACCACTTGCTTTTGAGTCCAACTGGTGTTGAACGCAGTAGTGACATGTAGTGAATATTCGCGGTCTGGGAGCACCTCAAAGCTTCACACGTTGATCGCACATGTGCTCCCTCGTCTGTCGACTCCCTCTAAGCTTCAGACCATGCGGTTGGCTGTACTTCGATGCCTGGGTCCCACTTTCACTCCTTTTTCCCGGATCCACTGGGAACGAACCAAGGTCATACTATGTCTTTGATGATGGAAACGGCAAAAATTGTTTGTCCCCAGCTTTCGACTTGCCGACGTGAAACAACATGGAGGATAGTAAGCGACTCGCTTGATGGTTCTGGTAACAACGATCATCCTGTCCTATTTCCGTCGGAAATTAACAGGGCACTCAATTCAATTGGGAGAGAGTTGACAGAATTGAAACATGAATATCATATGTTATCGAAGTACAAACCCTCACAATTTTGATCAAACCTGAAGAAACCGCCGGAAACGAGGATGATCCAGATCTCTCGGGAAACAGGATGAGATGAAATGAGGCGAACACCGCTGCATATCGACTTGCTGTGACCTATCACTTCCTCAGGCTCAGGGCGGCATCTTCTGCATCATCTCCTTCATCTTGAAGCCGATATTCATCTTAGCAGGCTTTATGAAATGAAAGAGATGCACCTTGGAGCTTCGAAATTGGAGCCCAATTCTCCACCCCATCAGAACACATACAGCACGATGCCGATCCTAACGACAGCGACGCACACCCTTTTCAAAGGCCAAGGAACCAACAGGCACTTCACCTTCCCTGTCACCATGCCTTAGGCGTTAGCTTTAGCGAAGTTCTTTGTCAGAATTGATCTTGTTTTGAATAGTGTGGCCGGATTCAATTGGCTCCCAAATTGGTCATCTGTACTTCACACACACACACACACACTAAGGCCCAAGAGAAAACGAGCCATTGCCCACTTCTTGGTAGCAGAGCAAAAACGCCCTCTGTGTGCAAGACCAAGCAAGTCAAGTCGAAAGGTTAAGAAAAATAAGTTCGGGAACGTGGAGAGGCTGCTGGTTTCGCATCCCGTGGTGCTTGTGAGAATTGTGGCAAGGTTGACAAAGAGCCTTGCCTTGCGGGAGGAAGAGCAAATGTGAAGATTTGGCTCAAAGGAGATGACAGAATCACAGACTATGAAGACTTCCACTGACTGGTGGACATCCACCTCAAACTCCTTGACTAGAAGAGCCATGTCATTTATAGAAGGCATGGAAAGTCTATACTCAGGATGAACGTATTATTATGAAAGGATAAGGCTATGCCATGCAGTGGATGATATCTTTGTGGTATTTGCTCAGATTTTCCGCGCAGAGAATCCCAATCTTCGTCGAAGGGTGTAGCTTGAAAGGCTTGCAAAGCTGAGAAAACAGTACCCCGCCGAATGCTTCTTGCACCCTCAAACTCAAAGCAACATGGGAATGCGACATGGTTCACGCTAACACTGACTGTCTTCGATCTATAACCTATGGGCGTGATCCACTTTTAACTCGATTTCCTGTTGACACCTTCAAGAGGTTTGGGGGTTCGTGCAGGGCAAGTGGGGAAGTCTTTCAACCTGATTTTTGAAGGTCTGTCTCAACTTGTCGACACTTGGCTGCTTGCTGAGGCCCTCGAGTCTGGAGCAATCAATCCAAAAAGATGATGGGTGACTGCCTTGGCTCATCTGGACAATCCTGAACTCAATTCTATAGTGACTCGAGAGCATTCAAGAACTTGAGAGCCAGCAAAAAACATTTAAAGCAGGCACGACATGGCACCACCATTCATCAAACGAAGCACATCGTTCATCAAAGGAACATTTGATGAGGATCACAGGAGGGTCCAATGTGAAGGCTAGTGAAGCACCTGTGTCCCACTCAAAGAACCAAATACAGTAACTTATACAATCTCCCTTGAAGACTGGACTAGTGAGGAACAGTTAGTTGACCATTCTCCTGGTATATACGGTATATGTCTTGTCCTCTTGGAACGCGTGCCTTCACCTATGTTATCATCGATAAGGGAGGTCCTCTTTGAGATGCCCCCGATTTCAAGTTCCATGTCAGCTTCTGCCACTCATTTCTTGGGAAAAGACGTCTCACAGGCGCTTGCAGCTCGAAGGGCCCCGCTTGATGCCTCGGTGGACAGTGGACCAACGATATACTTTTGTACCAAAAAATTTGGAGCCTTAATATTGGTTGATTGTTCCTTTTCAACTTTCCTTGTGTGTTTTTAATGTGTGCTTGTCATAAAAGTCCCTTTGAATTTTCCCTTCATGCCCAGACCACCACGGCCTCCACATCTCCAAACTGGCCACTGCCCGGGCAGTGGACAAACGTTGTGACAAGCCAACTGTAATTCAAAAATCTTCGCGCTAAATACACACTTGGAAAGCCTGAGAAAGGGGGACGAAAGCCAGCCTCCGTAACATTGTTGTTATGGGGTGAAGTTGACATTGCACTGATTGCACTGACCTCTACTGCTGTTATGCACGGGAAGTAGAAGGCAGAGAGGCGCAAAGTCTCGCATTGAGGGTCGATATGATAAACTCTTTATATACAAGGCTTTGATCAAGGCCCATTCACTGTTGGTGGTTGGGACAATGGTTGAACTGAGCAGACCATTCACAGTTCGGGGGGGTGCCCCTTTCTTTGGGTTAAAGACCGTTTTCACACCGAAAAAGGGCACCCAAGTAACTGAGGGGCGCTTGCCTTTTGTTTGCCTCTCTTGTCTTGTGCTTGGAATCAACAACCTGGTGAGCTTAGCCCAGTATTTTGAACGAATATGTAGAAAGCTGGAAATGTCCTGCTGAGTTGTGAAATGCTGCTTCTAGGAGCGTTTAGAACCCAGAAGGTTGTTGGTGGTACAGAGTCTCGCCGCTTCTCTGCGGTGGAGCAGAAAGTTAATGCTCAAAAGGGTGGATGAAAGTTTGGTGCCAAAGCCGCGTGATTGTATAACATCGAACATTTACAGTATAGTTCCCATCCTTTTCAATGAACAAGGTCTTGTTGTCATAGAGTGAAGTTGAATCTGCAACTGCTTCGACTCTTATGCGCCACGGGACGCAGACTTTCGCATTGAGGCTCGATGTGATAGAGCCGATATACACCACGCCTGGATCAACTCCCATTCGCCATTACCGGTCCATAGGATAGACTTCGATCCGTACAACCCAACTCCATGGACATGTGTAGCTCAGAGGGGTGCCCTTTTTCACCCGGTTAACAGAACTTTTCACAATGAAAAAAAGGGCAGCCCCAAGCAACTCAGAGGTTCCTGCCTGCACAGGGGGCGCCCCAAGAAAGCCCAAAACTTGCTGAGTGCATTCTATTTAGTGGTGTCTGTAGGCAACGCATCCCGAACCAGTCCCATAGAGGTCATGTCGACGGCAGAGTCTCTAGCTGATGACCTCATGGACTACCAACGTGTCCTGTTAGCCACCGCAAGGCCGCCTAGCAACCCAACTGATGCTGCCCTCAGTGGTCTGCTTTGTACTCCCTTGCTAGGAGTCCCAATGCAGAGTGCCCTCGACCTTTGTGTAGCGCGGGCTATGTATGGCACCTTTATGTGCAAAACCTTTTCCTGCAGTCTATAATTTGATGAGCCTCCCTCAATACGGGTTATCCTCTTTAAGGAGCAAAAAGGAGATCGCACCTCAGGACGCAAATCTCACAGCTTCTGTCCTGTGACTGAATGGACACACCTGCTTAGCCTGGTGAGCTCCCGGCCTCTTTTCCTGTCACGTAGTCCCCCCTTTCCTGTCCTCGACCCAAACTCTCACCCCTTGTCGAAAGACTGTCAAAGTAGCCTCCTGAGCCCCGCGTGATGCCAATATGCACTCCTCGGCGCCAATTACATCACTCGCATCAGATCTCCAAGAACCATGCATTTTCATTGCTTTTCGAACCGCCTCTTCTTTTTCGCTCTCCACCACCAGGCTCTGGGTTCACCCTACCCGGCCGGGCCGGCCTGCGACCACCCCTCCCCCACACCCCCTAAACTCACTTCGTTCGCCCATCGACAACTCCAGCCTAGCCTATGGGCTGGCTTTAGTAAAAGCTCGCAAGAACACATTCCGGTGTTCATCAGTTCTGCATTAGCCCTCTACAGTTACTGCATTCAGGGTGAAGCGAGAGCTAAATTATATTTCACAGGTACATCGATCCAGCATCCTGGATCGATATCACGCACACATCCAGTGCGAATTGGCATCTTCTTTATAGGCAAGCAAAAACAAGTGTGTGAAAAAGCATAGAGGGATCGACGCGCTCGGGATATTGCGTGCAGAACTGCAGAACTGATTTGCGGTTGCCACCCGCCAGCCTAAGTAAAAAACCTAAGAGCCCAGGAAGTATGAAGCCTGAAGTGTTAAGTGGAGAGGCGTCTAACCTCTCAAAATGCAAAGTCTCAAAGTTCCACAGACTCGAACGACGAGCTGCAGAATGCATTAGCAGCTCAAAAATAGTTCAAAAGCAGGTACGTAACTCTGGCGTCCCAGAGTTGCACAGTGCAAGCCAATGCGTCTTCGGCTGGAGACATCTGAAGCACACTCCAGCCCCTAGCCTTACACACACCACATGGTGGAGCGAACAAAAAAATACGTTCACCTGTTGTGAGTCACTTTTTCCCCTGTTTTTCTTTTGGCCAAATCTTTCAACGGCGGCGACACTAAGGAACTGAAAGCGGTGTCTAACCGCGGACACGTCGTAACCGCTCCTTTCACTCCGCCCCTTGGAATCTCGTTACCGCTCACTTTCGAGTTTGAACGGCACTTTACTTCGCAAATGCCATGGCGAATTGTGGACTGTTGAGTTGTTCAGGGAGGACTCGTGCGAAAGCTTCCATTTTGCTACTTCGAAGTGGTCTTTGGAAGTGCCTGGTTTGCGAAAAGCACTGGCAGGTTTGCGCGATGTGAACGCAGCGTCAAGGCAAGCCTGGCAAAAGCAGCGTTCTTGGATATTTGAAGCGCTCTCATGCGCGTGCCCATGTATGTGTGCCCGTGTGCCCTCGCCCTCTCTCTCTCTCTCTCCCTCTCCCTCTCCTGCGTGTCTGCCCAGATGTGTGCCTCACGCGCGTGCGCCTTGATGGTGCGCTTCATATGTGTACTTTCCATGTGTGCTCTCATACTGGTAAGCCTCAGACCTCATGTCATGTGTGTCCTCCCTTTGTGCTTAATATGCGTGGTCTTGCGTGTGTAATCTTTCACGAGGTGCCTTTGGGCATTTGCAACTTGGCAGGGCTGCAGGGAATGCCATAGTTCTGCCAACGAAGACGGCTGTGACATTCGATATCGTCTAGTGATGTTGTGATGACCTGACACCTACTGCCCCTTTCCGAGACCGTTTGGAACCGAACTCGGGAACCTTGAGACTGGGACCCTTTTTGCGCTGCTTCGGCGCTTTCGTTCACAACGATGATTCTTCCGGCCAACCGCACGAAGTGCACACATTTTTATCCCCTGTGTGTGTGCTCTCATATGACTCATATGTGTGGTCTTCCTTTTGCGCGCTCTTCTGTTTTTGTCTTCTGATGGGCGTGCGGCGTGCTCTATAATTTCCATGACCCTTCCAACAAACTAAGATTCATGCCCCTGGCAAGTCTGTCCATCACCATATGGCCCAAAACTTCCATGTCAGGGTTTTGTGTGATCTTGCTTGGGGACAGCCTAAAACTCCCTGCGCATCAGTCACTTTTACTTTTCGGACTGTCTCCCACCATTGCACATCTTTGCAACGCTGGGGCTCAACTTCGAGGTCGCACCCTTTTGATCTCTAAGTTAGCGACTTTCACTTTGCGCACCTGATTGCACAATCATCTTTACGGCAATCACCTGATTGATCTAGATTCGCTTCGAGCTCATCATGTCAATTGTCGTTCAAAGCTCTAGCTCCCCGCATTCTCAAGGATCTGTAAAGACGACAGGTTGATATCGCCTAACTGTCGAAACTCCATGTCTCAAGAACACTCTGTTTGTGGGGTGTCCTCTTTGATCCAAAATTGTACGAGACACCTTTCCGCCCAACCACCTGATTATTGCTTTCCTTCATTCTTTTTGTTGGTTCTTCTGCAAAACAAGTCTGCTCCATTACATGCGTGCTCTAATGCGCATGTGCTCTCACATATGTGCTCTCATGTGTGTGCTCTTATGCGTTGGCCTCATGTGTGGGTGTGTGCACTTACACTGTATGTCTTGAAAGTTTGCTCTCAATGTATATGCTCTCAGGCAGGTGCTCTCCAAGAAAGAGGGGCTGCAGTTCATACAAAAGCACGGGTTCGTGACGACTCAGCAATGCTACAGCCAAGCGACGCGTGTAAAGAGTATGAAGTGCGCTTTGACTGTTTGGGATTGCTTGCCAGGATAATTGACATCACGTATGTCACTTCGTCCTTTGTACCGTTTTGAGTAGCTGTACTTACACCTCAAGATGTCTTAGGAGAAAAGACATCGCCAAGAAACAAACAACTCAGTATTTTAGCCAGCAAAAGCACAGGGAAACAAACCCAGAAAGGACTGTGACCAATTGCAAACTTGCAAACCCGTATGAGCACTTCAGCAACGTCTGGGGCCCGCAACCAAGAAGTATATCCAAAAACAGCTTCAAGCAGGAATCTGGGAGCTGCGCGGCGCATGCTGCTCCCAACGCATGGCGAAAGAGTGGCCACGTCTCAACATCGCCCAGCTCGGAAAAACATGCGAATCCGTCACGGTGTTCATCGTCTTGACATCCGATCTGTCGATCTTCGTTTGGTTCGAGCTAAGCAAACGCTTCCAAAAGGGCCAAATCCAGCCAAGAAAGTTGGCAGTCAATCTGCAAAAAGAGCCGATTGCCAAATACAAATAATACAATCACAGTATGTTGAAATGGTACTTCACAAGGACTTCGGCCCGCCGGAAGTGTTCATGGCTGGGCCTTGACAGTCCAGAACACGGATCACTGCAATCTTCAATAATAGCATCTAATAGCAATGGCCTCCAACCTACAAGGAGACACACTTTACATGATCACATTATATCTCAGTGCAGATCACATCACCGATCAAAATGATGCAAACCAAATGCTTTTTGTCACACGGGCATTGGCCGCTTTCTTGGCCTTGGAGACTCGCCTTCACAAGCGCACTCGCGGGAACGCGGTCGAAATCTGGTCTCTCGTATGGAAACGTTGTATGTCGCCCATCGTCTTAATCAAAATGCGTAACTGCATAACTGCAAAACTTTGTATCCTCATCTGATTTCTCAACATGGTAGAACCGGGCGAACCTATCTTCCCTACGACCCTCTGCGAAACACTGCGAACAAACTTGCATGGCAAACCAAGAGGAGAATCACAAGTACCAAGCTTTCGGCACGCCCGGCAGCCATCTAGCTAGAAGTTCTACGCCCGTTCACTGGCAGAACCATTCATACCCATTCCCCATCAGTTTCGATTGGCCTCTGTCGTCCCAGCGTTCCAACATCTCACGGACGTAGAGCCGCAAAAAGCGCCAAGACTTGGGCCTCTCAACATGCAAAGTGAGCGACGACTTGGGACGACGAGGGAAGCCGAAATCTGGCACACCGTTTTGTACGTGCCTGCCACCCTCTCTCAGCTCCGGAGGCACACAGGAATAGGTATCCGAGAATTCCTGGATAGCAACGACCAAAAACAGGTCGCAAAGGCTAAGTGAAGAGAGCTAAGTCTCCAAGTGAAGATTTTTCCTCACCAATCACTGGCTCCATTTCAAAACGGAATTCCCAAAAACGACCACAGTTTGCCTTGCCAACCTCCTCAAACTCCTTTTTTCAAATTGAAATATTGCTGGTTCAAATGGTGGAGACTTGAAGTCTCAATCGATAGAACAATCATGAATCTCAGAACAAACCAGGGGCCAACGCCATCCGACCATCGCTAGCGCTCCGGAGCTAGGAGGAGCTTGAAAAGCTCCACAATGGCAGTCTCGGTGAGAATCTCCTCGGGTGAGAAATGCACATCTGCGTTCGTGGAATCTGCTTACAAGTCTTTGGCTCTAGGAGCAAAGACGCTACTAGGGGCTCCTGGCCGTACTACTCTGAGCAATGTTCGCTACTAGTAGCAAAGGGCCTCGCTACTAAGAGCGATCGGACGCTACTAGGTAGCTTCGACAACCCCCAAAACTCGTCACACAGCTGTTTCCGGGCCGTTCCCGGTTCGCTCCGGATTGACCATCACCGCAGCTCGCTCCATGCTTTTGTTGACCCAAAGCTCCGCAAAGGCCTTACGGCCGGTAGAACTGCTCGGGTTTATCACACTGTCAAAGTTTGGCATGTAAAACACCCACCTTCCTTGGAAAAAGGTTCAACACAAATCGAATTTCCAAGAAGTGCTAGTTGATCTCCAATACCTAGGGTAGAACTGTCCATGTATCAACCTGGTACAACAAGTGAATTGAACCGTTGTTGCACACAGCCAAGTTGACATTTCCTGCGGTGGTGGCAGGAATGTCCAGCTGCAATGAACGCAGGAATCTTGGACTCATGACCATCATTCAGTTATCCATCTGTCTCTCCCGCCTACTGGCTTCACCCCATCCTGGTGACGTCCTTGTCTCTTTCCCAGCCTCGACCTTCGCGAAAATGTCGGCTTGATTGTTGGCCTGCTCCAACTCCTTCTGCACTCCTGTTAAAACTGAATCTGCGAATCCTAAGTGGGTTGTCCCACGTAGAGCCAGACCCTCTTTCTTTTCTGCGACCCAGAAATCAACACCATAAACACATCATTGTCGCCGCTCGATTTATTGTGTCGACCCCTTGAGAATCACATGATAGATAGTTGTGCTATTGACGGTCACCCAAGGCTGTACAGCGAGCAAACAGGGCTCCAATTAGACAGAAAGCAGAAACAAAACGTATTGATAAAGGTGTCAAAACAAGCTGTGTTTTGGTTGTAAAAACACTGACAATGTGTTTGTTTTCACCATCCCTCGTGCCATTCCGCAAACTCACTTCACCTTCATGGGTGCGATGGAGGGCCGTCATCCTGGGCCGGATGGGTGAAGTAGGGCTTTACTCGTATGTGATGTGGTTGCCAAGTTCTCATGTAGAGCGCAAAGAAAAGGGCGTTTGTGGACAGGTTATTTGTGACATTAACACCCAGCTTCACCTTCAGGGTCTTGTTGACTCAGTTTGTCTCAAGTGCAATTTAAAAGTGGATTGTTTCGAACAAAATTACAACACATAGAGCAGACTATTCTGGCGGGGAGCAAATTGGAAACGCTCTGGACCGGCATACTGTTCTGCCCCAAGAGTTTGCGCCACACTCTTGAGGTGTGCCGTACGGTTGGTGTGCCGTCGGTCCGAACCTCTCCAACACCAGTGAGTTCGCACGTGAACTTTCAAAAACGACCACCCCTTTTCGTCAACCCTCGTTCGACGCCTTCACACAGTTCGGGCCGGAAGAACTTGCCGAGGCACAGCTTCTGCTGCACTTCTTCGCATTGATCTCCGAAGGAGTGCAGCACCGCCTTGTGGACCGCGACCTGCGCTGAGACTTAAGGGGTAAACCACCAACTTCGGCAAGAAAATCTCCCAACTGCACAGGGTCTCGAATATTCAAAACTGTCACTGTAAATGTCCAGGGCATTTGTTTTATATGGCATTTGTTTTATATGCCCTTTCCGCACCCATCGTTGCCTCAAAGTTCTGATATTCCGTCATCTCCATGTAGACCTGCAGAAGCAATGATAAAGGTGTTCCAATTTCCTCAAGCCGCCTGAAGTGAAAAGCAATACGCAGAACACAAAAACACAGGGGAGAGGGTTTTAACAAAACCAAAGCTTGCTTGGCATTTGTCACTGATCTTGTCAACGTGTCTTGTTTTACTCTCCAACATTCTCCAACTATTCATCGGCAATCCGCGTTGAACAAGACCATGGACGAAAATAACATTGGCTTTGGGTCGACTTGGAAAGTTTAGTGCTCTGAAGCATGTCAGAAGCCACAATTCTCTCCAAACGGAGATTGGCCGCGCTGCCCCACACCCCCAGCTCCTCGTCAACAAGATGTTCCAGTGCATGGATCGAGCATTCCGAGACGTTGTCGCAATCCTGGTTGGACACGTCCGCATCACACGTCACAGCGAAAGAGACAAGTCGCTGAATGTTGCTGGCGGATGAGATGCTCCACACACGAAGCAATTCAGAAACCTTGCGTCAAATAGGCTGGTTGGCTTTCGACTAATTGAATGAGGCCAGTCTAGAACGAGTCTGGCAGTGGAACTTGTCGATTTTTTACTGAAAGAAATCTGGAGATCAGCAGCCAGTCCTGTATCAACTCCCACGCTGCTTTCGCAAGCACGGGCTTCAAGACAACACCCTGATCAGGCAAGCTAGCATATGCTAGCATGAAGTGAAACATGAAGCGACACCATGCTTCGTTCTCGGTTTTTTTTGCTTTCGGTCGAATCGAGAACGTCCGGGCCACCGCACTGCGCGCGCGAACCACTTCCGTCCCTTGCAGGCGTTCGAAAAGGACCGCAGGCCCTTCTCCAAGAACCTTGGTCCGATGTCTTGAGTGCACTACGTACTAGTCGCAAGGTGCCTTATGAATCCTTATGACTAATAAGCGTCTTTGTAGCGAGGCCCTTTGTTCCTAGTAGCTTCTTGTTCCTAGTAGTAAGGCCAGGAGCTACCAGTAGCGTCCTTGCTCCTAGTAGCGAGGCCCTTTGTTCCTAGTAGCT